GGCATTCGGCAGTGGGGTGGGGGTGGGGGTTGTTACAGGCTGCATTAACTCTGTTACAACTCTCCAGTATCCACTTCCAGGTCCCTGCTAGATAGAGAAGTTTCTATAAATGAACTTCCAAGACTTGACTCAACCTGTCAAAGGTCAGGTGTTCCTAGGAACAGGAAGAGTAATTTTAAAAAGCAATTTATCTATATCAAAACATTTAGATTTGCTAGATCAGTGGCATACAGTGTTCTTTAACACACAAAGAGAGGGATACTTTTTACACAACAACCTAGAACACATATGTGTATTTGTATGTGTGTGTGTTTAAAATGAAGCAAAAGTTTCATATAACAATATGACAATATAACAATATAACAATCCTGCCCTTGCTACACACAGTGCATTCTGATGCTACCTGTTCTATTTGATTCTATTTAATTTGTTTTTAAAATGTTGGTCCTGTTCCACTCAATTAATTTCACAGACTATGAACAGTTTGCAACCTGGAGTTTTAAAACACTGTACCAGATCATTCACATCGTGGATAGCAGAGTGGACTCTGCTCAGACCACCTGGTCTTACTCACTCTCTAACTAACTGTATGACCCTGCTCAAGGCACTTAACCTTTCTGCACCCAGATCTACTGCAATCCTCATTCTACATCAAGGACTGCGAGAGAAATGAATGAGAAGTCACATGTGATGCTTTTAGAATGGAGCCTGGCAGGGGCTTGATAAATGCTGGCCCACTTCCCCATCTCCTCTTGGCTAGTAGAATGAAATGGTCTAGCATAGGAGGTCTTTATGCCCAGCAATCAGCTCTCACCATAGAACCTAATGGCTGACCACTCTTCTCCCTCCATTTGCTCCGGTCACTCTGAGCTTCTCATGTCCTCAAACATGCCAAACCTGCTATAGGCTCACAGCTTTTGCTCTAGCTGAATCCGTTGCTGGGAATGCTTGTGCTCCTAACAGTCATATGGTTCCTCTCTCCCCAACCTGAGACCACTCACCCTGGCCTTTATTCAGAAAAAGTAGGCTTAAGACTGCCTTTCCTTAGGAAGTCCTGTGTGCAAATTGGTACTTGGCTGGCATCTGGGAACTCCATTATTAAAGTTTCCTGTACTGATACAAACCTTTTCCTAAAATAATAAGAGTGTGCTAAACAGCACAAACAATATAGTTTGTGCTGAACCCCTGCTTTCCTCCTGGGAATCTGGGACTTGGTACATACTAAGTAGAGGGCGCCTATGTTTATTGGGCTCCAGCCCCCAATAAACATCATGGGTACTCAGGATCTAATGATCTTCCCTGGTAGACAACACTTCCTGCACATCATCACAATTTGTTGCTAGAAGAATTGAGTGCGTCCTGTGTGACTTCACTGGGAGAGGACTCTTACAGCCTGACCTCCTTTCCTCTGGACTTCACCCCACGTGCCTTTTCCCTGAGCAGGCTTTGCTTCATATCTCTCACTGAAATAAATCTTAGCCATGATTTGACTCTCTGCTGAGTTCTATGAGTCCTTGCTAACCAACAAACATGTAGAGGGCTTGGGAACCCCTGACACACAGGGATCTGCTCAAATGTCCCTTCCTTGATAAGACCTTAGCTCACCATGCTCTCTGCAAGGTCATCATTCTCTGACCCCACGGCTCTCTGTCCCCTTAAGTGCTCTGCAGAAAAATACCGCAGTTCATCACTCTGTTTATCACATACTTTCAAGGTCTTCTCCAATCAACAGAAGCTCCATGGAGCACTTAGATAGTCAAAATTTATTGCCCTTATTACTTGTCAGGGGCTGTGCCAGACACTGAGGCCACCACAGGAAAGAGACAGCAAATTCCCTTCCCAATGGAGCTTACGTTTACGGGAGGAGACACACTATATTTGTTTACTACAAAGGAGAATAAAGCAGGGTCAAGGGACAGAGGACGGCACGCTGCTCCTTCAGCTGGTGGTCAGGGAAGCATCTGTGAGAGGAGCGTGTCTAGAAGGCTGGGCGACCAGGGTCCAGCTAGGCTTCCAGAGCAGGCAACACACCCATGCTTAAGGAGTCCTGGTGATAATAATATGTTCTGCACCAGATGACCGGTAATCAGTGAAATCTAGAAAGCCTCTATTCATAATCATCACAACTTAAACAACAACAAAAAAACCATTTTTGGCAAATAAGCCTAAACACCTTGATATGGAAAGATTTTCATTGTTAGAGCACCATGACCACCATCTACAACTGAAGAAACAAATTCTTGAGATGTCTTCCATTTTAAAATAATAAAGCAAATCCTACCAAAACTATTTCTACATGTGTACATGACTAGTTAATATGTCCTACAAAAGTTGTACCTAGTCACCTCCAAATTTTAGACACACTGACTTTAAAACCAAAACTATTCATATGTTTCCCAGTCAAAGAGAAAAGGTTCCCCCAGTCTAGCCTGGAATGATTCCATCCAACAGAAAATGGAAGCTCAATAGCCCCTTCATCCACCCAAGTGCAGCTTCACCCAGAGAGTGTCAAACAATGTTTACAGTCATAAAAACCACAAGATGTTAGAACTGGGAGGGACTGCAAGATGATCAAGGAAAACATACACATGCATAGACACTCACACACTCCACCCTGCAAATATGCTTATGGTTTTGCTATCGAGGAAGGTGAGTCCCAGGGATTGTTCAGTCGCTAAGTTGTGTTCAGCTCTTTGCAACCCCATGGACTGCTGCACACCAGGCTCCTCTGTCCTTCTCTATTTCCCAGAGTTTGCTTAAATTCATGTCCATTGAGTTGGTGATGCTATCTAACCATCTCATCCTCTGCTGACCCCTTCTCCTTTTGCCATCTTTCCCAGCATCGGGGTCTTTTCCAATGAGTTGGCTCTTCACATCAGGTGGCCAAAGTATTGGAATTTCAGCATCAGTCCTTCCTATGAATATTCAGGGTTGATTTCCTTTAGGATTGACTGGTTTGACCTCCCTGCTGTCCAAGGGACTCTCAAGAGTCTTCTCCAGCACCACAGTTTGAAAGCATCAATTCTTTGAAAGCTCAGCTGAGGCCCAGGGAAATTTTGCTTAAATTGGGCAGTTTACAAGCCTTTAACTCTGGTCTCCTAATTTTAATCCATAACTTTCACAGAAGAAATGAGTTTCTTACTAGATAAATAAAAAATAACTTCAGAAAGAGCCAGTGTCAAATGACTACGCAACTCAAAACTGGGAAGTTGCATCTTTCCTGGCCTGGATCAGGCTATCAAGGAGGAAAATCAGGAATAAAGGCAACAGCCCCTGCCCCCAGCTACTATTATTTGTTTCTATTGAGAAAAACACTGGAATCAGGGATGGGGAAAGAGGTCTGGGCAAACTACTTGAGCAAGCAAGGTTCCTGGCAGACTGTATTTTCCTAATTTTAAGAAAAGACAAAGTCTAGGGCACACTTTTTTCTCCTCACAACTTAATGTTCTGAACATCTTAAATTGACAAGTACATTTAAATATAGTAAAGCTATTATTAAGTTGATAGTGCCTCTTACAATTGACGGTACCTCAGAACTGAACGCCAAGCCCACAGCGGGGCTTCAGTTCCTTTCCATAAGGAAGCCTGAGAGTTCACTACCTAATTCCTTGGTCCTCCTCTCCCTCAGGCAACTCTAGCTCTTCTCTTTCTAGAGCCTCAGTCCCTCCCCTGGATCTTTCTCACCCCGCAGTTGGCATCACTCAGCAAAGTGCTCAGGTCCTCTGCTGAAGTTCCTGAGCACACGGAGGTGTTAACATGCCTGCTTCGGACTTATTCCTGTAAGTCCACTTTAGTAGGAGCAAAAAGAAGAAAAACTCTGGAGATTTTTCTTCACTAATAAAACAGCCTTTGATCACAAAGACACACTGGGAGAGCTTGAGTCAGTCATGGGTAAGAGGGGAAGAGGCAGAGCACAGTGGTGAGACAGCCAGGCTTGGGCACACTTGGCTTCAAGTCCACACCTTCCCTTGAGACTGCTCAGAGCCTCAGCACTCCCATCTATAACAAGGGTATTAACCACAGCAGTTCCTTTGTAGGGCTGTGAAAAGGACACCAGCGTGGAAGATGTACAGTACTCTACTCAGTAATAAATGTAAACTTTTATAACTGTGTTTAATAATGATTGACTCCTACCGTTCATCACACTAGCCCACAGCCTACTTCTCAGATCACTTTGCTGAGAGTGGGTCAACAGGTACTAAAATAAGAAGTGTGGAGAGAGGGAGAAAGGAAGCTGAAAACAGAGTGGTGGGGGGCGGGGAGCCAGGAGGCCCACATGGTTGACCAGTTGGAACACACTATCCCCAGGTACCTGGGCAATGACTGGGAAGTCAACTAAAAGATAAAGGAATGGATTCCAAAGATCTAAAAACACCATCATCAATTTTTCCCTTAAAATGTAGAGGCTGCATAACGAACAAGCTGTAATAGAATTAAAAGCACTAAAAAGCCTATTCCCAGATCCAATTATTGTGAGCAAATAAAAACATAAAAGCTCCAGTGATTTTTAACAATGTAAAATTTTCTATTTAGATTAGCCCCTGGTGGGCTCCTGGGTATGCTGGCATAATCATCCAGCTGGTGCCGGAGTGTCTTTTAAATCAAGGTCAAAGGCTTCTTGTTCCTTATTTCTTTGTTGTTCTCCTTGCTTTCTTCCTGCCCCTCTCTGTCACCTGCCAGGACACCACTCTCCAAAGATCCTTTTTCTCTTTGTGTCAACTACCAGCTGGATATCATGGTTATGTCGCACCAAGTTGTAGCTTGGTGGACTAGATCCTTTGTCACTTAGAAAATAACATTTTAGATGACTGGTTTAGAACAGCACAAGCCAAAACCAACATAATGTCTTGGTAATGACTAACATTTATTTAAAACCAGCTGGGATATGTCAACTATACATATATAGTCATATATCTTATTAACATTAGAAAGAATACAAAAGAAAATCAAGTGGGTAGCTCTGAATTATTATGATAAATCGAAAAGCACGGAGCACTTACCTGGAGGATTTTATTGGCTGTTATTACTGGAGACTCATCGTTTACTGACTCAATGGTCACAAAAAGAGTTTGGGGCAAACTCTGTTTTCCAAGCTCTGAGCTATTTGCAAAGATGGTGAAACTGTCAAGAAGCTCTTCGCTACCATCATGCACATAGGAAATCAATTCATTTTCTACCTGTAACCAACAAAAAAATAATCACCAAACTACTGGATATGTAATTTTAAAATATAACAAAAACGCTCTAAGAGAAATCCTGATATTTTATATCTCTTTAAAACACAGAAGCATGTGTTCATCCCATAAAATTTGATTCTGACAACCAGAGTGAAATTCTGATGGATGGCATAATTGTGATGAAGTAGTGCAGTATCCCAAAAGTAAGTTTAAGGATGAACAGAGTGATTGAGCAACATGGGGTATTAAAGAAAATGCTGGTCTGGTTATCACAAGGCCTGAGTTCAAAGGCTATTTCAAACACTAAAATGGGTTGTAGGCGACATAATCTTCCCTTTCTTCCAATGGATCAGCCATTAAAATTCAGACTCTGCTGTGTATTTAGAGAGACTAATTTTTGAAGTTGTAGACAATTCAGAAAGTTGGACAATTCAGAATATTGGGTTTAGGCTCTGAAGTTTCCACCCACCGGTTGGATTTCTGCTCTTTGGGGACACATGGACCAGTGAAACTATTGTGTGCATGCATGCCTGCTCAGTCAGACTCTTTAAGTTTCCCCAAACTTCTCTCTTCTGAGTTAAGTATGCATTATTCCCTTAACTGCTCTTTGTATGTGAGGTTACACCTGCTTCCTCCTCCTCCTGCAGAATACAATCATTTTTTGGTGCCTCTCTTAATAGCTACCATAAAGCTCCTAAGGACAGAGTATAATGAAATATATTGGAAATAAATTATTTTATCAAGCCAGATTTCTCTCACTGTAATAACCAAAATGCAAATGTTTACTTTATCCCTGGTTGATTTCATCTTTCTAATTTTCATTCTGAAACGGTTGTCCAGTGAATTAGTTATTCCTCTTGGATTTGCGATAGCCACAGATTTCATCAGAATGCTTTTCATGTCTTTAAGACTCTGATGGAAGCATGGATCAAAACCAGACATCAGGAGAATTTTAAAGGTAGAAGGGAACTTGGCTTCACTGAACCTGTGACCCAAAAATACAACAGCAGAGAACTTCCAAAGCCCAACAGGAGTAGTTGAACTTCCAAAAAGTCTCTGGGGTTGTGTTTGTTTTGATAAAATACAGCCAACATTCTTAACAGTTCAACTTTGTCCAGTTCTATGGCGCACTTCCTTTGAGCAAAGACTTTTGATCTCTCAGAGGTGTCTCTGACAAGAGTTGAAAAGTTCACGAACTGTCTCAAGAGAAAGTTGTAACCACTTGAACACAGGTGCATGAAAGTTTCTTTGGAGTTCCCTGGGAAGAGTATTCCAGACCATAGGCCTGACCACATATTCCTGGAACATACTATTTTAAGCTATTTTTTAAAAAGTGAGGAAGATGGCACTGATCAGAGGGCAGGAAAAATTCTAACCTAATATGCTTTAGGAAGATAGCATTTAAATAGACATCACATTCTCTGTATCCTTCCTGTAGAAATACATCATTTCCTCAATGGAGTGGTACTCTCTCAAATCACCATTTAAAATGTCAGTGTGCACGTGCATATGCTAAGTCACCTCAGTCGTGTCCAACTCTCCGCGACCCCTTGGACGATAGCCTGAAGGTTCCTCTGTCCATGGGGACTCTCCAGGCAAGAATACGGCAGGGGCTTGTCATGCGCTCCTCCAGGGGGTCTTCCCAACCCAGAGATCAAACTCGCAGCTCTTACACCTCCTGCATTGGCAGCTGGGTTCTTTACCAGCTGAGCCAGCTGGGAAGCCCAAAATGCCAGTTAGCAGGTATTAATCCAAAGGCAAGGAGGGTTTGGTGGGAATGTATCTGTTCCTAGCTCTAATGCTAGAAAAACATCTGCTGACCTTCAGGTACTTAATAAACTTATAGAAAATCTTAAAAGATTAAAAAGCGTTTGGTCCCCCGTCACCAGTCAAGTTCAGGGAACGTTAAGTTCCCCCCTTCTGTTCACAGCAGGCTTTCCAGCTGGCTCAGTGGTAAATAATCCACCTGCCATTGCAGGAGACATAAGAGACGCGACCCCTGTTTTGACCCCTGGGTTGGGAAGACCCTCTGGAGTAGGAAATGGCAACCCACTCAAGTATTCTTGCCTGGAAAATTCTGTGGACAGAGGAGCCTGGCGGGCTACAGTCCATGGGGTCGCAAAGAATCAGACATGACTGAGCACACAGAAAAATAACAACAAATAAATAACAAAAATAAATCAACAAAAAAATAAGAAAAATAAATCACATTCTCCCTCCCTCATTGTTCTGAACCTCACTAGGGGTCAAAGGTGAAGTCAAAAGCCCTCCCATACTGGACCTCCCTAACCTCACCTACGGCCCCCCGCCCTTGTGGGAAGCTCCACACCCTGAGCTCCTCCTGCTCCCCTCACAGAGCTGTTCACTTGCTCCTCCCTCTGCCTGAATGCTCTTCCTCCATATCCACCAAGCTCACTCTCTATCACGTCCTCCAGGTGTCTGCTCAAGGCTGCCTTGGGCCCCCAACCACTGTATTTGAATCTGAGCATCAGCACACCCAGACACACAAACATCACTGATGTTCCCAGCACTTCCTATCTCTCTTTCCTGTTCTATTTTTCTCCATAGCACTAATCTTCATTCATCTATTTATATAAATTCACTTATTTATTTCATTTATTCTCTCTCTCTGCCTCTTTCTTTCCCCACCAGGAAAAAAAAATCCATAAACGGAGGGTTTGTTGCTGGGTTAATTCACTGCTTTACACTCAATACTTAGAACTAGCATACCTGACACATAATGGACACTCAAGAACTATTCATTGAATGAATGAAGGGCAAAAATGGCCAAGACCTCTCCTTCTCTGAGTCACTGAAGGTTATAGCCACAAGTTGTTAGGTGTCACCATAAGTGAAAATGACCATGTGTCAAACCCCAGGGACCTCAGAAGTCATAAAAGCAGAGAAATTGTAAAGGTCTTGAGAAATGGAGGATTTCCAGTCACATCAGTAAACAAAGGCTGTCATAGTGATGTTCTGGCTTTCCAAATGTGAATTCCTGAGCCTTATGGGCACTCAGGAAGGAGAAGAATACCCACAACCTGGCAGCCATTAGGCTGTAGCCACTCCCTACAGTGAGCTCTGAGCAGCTCAGGATATGAAAACAGGATACTGGCCCCAGCTAGTTGAGGTGCATGTGAAAGGAATGATTCGAGTGAGCCCAGACTCATAAATAGAAAAGTGCTAAATTCTTTAGCTTGGTTAATCTGGTTTTATTTCATTAACAATAATCTTTTGATGTTCAGACTACCTGCTCTTTGTTGCAAATTTCTATATAGCCTGATTTCTCCCCCCACCTTCTTGGAGCAGTTCTCTCAGGGTCACTTGAGATGCTGTCTCCTGGGCCTGAAGCCCTAAAAATTTCCACCAAATAAAACACAACTCTCACCTTTTAGATTGTGACTATTTTTTAAGTCAACAGGGTCACCTGAAGATCAGGAACATATAGTCTTGACTGTGAACAAGGCTACACAACAACATGGATACTGTAGGGAACAGACACACTTGATGCATATTTCAACCAACCATGCTTAAATACACACTTCTCATAATACAAAGCACAGACGATAATGAATCGGTTAAGACAGAAGCAAAATTTAGGGCTCAGTCTCTCACCCAGAGTACATGGGGTGAATAGAATTAAATTCCGTTCACATGAGAGCAGGTGGTTATCTTATGTGGTTTGTCCAGCCTTTGGGAAGGAAGCTATGATTAAGAGATGGCTGCATGGAGTCACAGAAGAATCATCTCCCCTGCATCCCCAGTTGAGAGGCACCGAGCTCCAAGGTCTTTTCCACCCTCAGCACTCTCCACTTCTCCCTGTGGCTCTGAATACCACCTGATTGAGTCTAACCCTCTTGACATGTGCCTCAGGGCTCTCCAAAGTTGGCCCCTAAGCACCCTCCAGCACGCTCTGTCCATCTGGGAACCTCGTGAACTATCCTTGGCCCCTAGAACACCATTCACTTCAATGCCTTCACGCCATTGACATATAGTCCCCCTTTGCTTTCTTTGCTTTCTCTCTTCACCTCTATTATCTCCCTGCTCTTTCACTCTATCCTAAAAGTCTAGCTTAAACTTCATTCCCTCTGAGAAGCCTTCAATTAGAGTCAAATGTGACCATTCTGCACACCCACAATATCACTGTTAAAGTGCTACATGAAAGACAAGAAGAGTATAGCTTATATTAAAGTTCATGTGCCTAACTCCCCCACAGCAATTCTTGAAGGCAAAAAAATATGTCTACTTATCATGGAAGCCTTACATAGTAACTTGAACAGAATAAGTTTTTAGTAAATGGATTCAAGTCACTTGATGAGGTGAAATCCTTAGAAGCAAAATGAAGCAGTAACATGCGTTCTTAGCTAACTGGACAAAGATATCCAAAGATGCTAGATAGCTGTTCATGGTTTCCATCCTGAAGACAGTGTGTTCCTAGGAGCTTATAAAGGAAATAACGGGGATCTGAAAAATACTTTGCAATATTTTTTTAAGTATGGAAATCATTCTTTTATTCATGGTAAGAAAGCAAACTATCACAATAATAACACTCTAAAAATTCACTGAGGATATTTAAGCAATGACTAGATGACCTTTTGTACAGGGTTATCATGGAAGGGCTTCTCTATCTGCTGAGAGGTTGGACCAGATATCTACTAAGGCCCCATCACTTCCCAAAGTCCATGAACCCAAGTGATAAATAGCCAATTTTTTTTCTTATCCAACATATCCAAATCCAAATATATTAACTGAGAGTTATTACCTGTTTCCTGGTAAATTTCATCAGCTTTACTCTTGGAAAATGAGAATTTTCAATATAACCATGTTTCGGTGGTTTGAGTAGAACAAATTCACAGTCAAGTCCCTCAAAATGCTTGCTTGGAGTTCTGAAATAGTCTTCCGGAAGTGCCTTGGAGCCGCCTTCCTGGACTGTGAAATTTTGTACTGCCAGAGGAATCTGTTTAGGGACAACATCCACCAGGATTTCAAGTCTGCTCACAGCTTGGAAGCCACTCCTAACATCCAGTATAAAACGGTCCTGTTGTTGGTCAGGCATTGTCTGTACATAATGGATGTAACCATCATCAACATCCGGCTGCGTAAACATCAAAGGGAACGTGTCCTCTGTACCCACGCTACCCTCCTCCGGTAAAGACCTTCGAAGGTATCCATGCACTGGCAGAGCTCTAACAATGAACACTGCCTCTGAAGGAACAAGGTCTTCATGCACAGCCTTGAGTGCACATTAACAACACAGAGACACAAAAAGAAAACCATTAATCTACGGAAGAGTCAAGACCCTTGATGAACCAAATTTTTTTTTTCTATTAATGTTCACAAATGGCTTAAGTTACAATCCAGATTAAGACACAGTTTAAGCCTGGGTCTGTTCTGGTAACCATGCTAATATTTCAAACTTTAGTCCTGATCACAAAGACAAAGCAACATTGGAACAGTTACTAATGTATTATCAAGACATCATTCACAGTGACAAGAAACCTAGGACTCAGAAAATAGAGCTGAAAGGAATAAAATGGTATCTAGAGAAGGAATAAAAGATGGTAGAAGAAGTAGCAGTTAAAGCACTAAAATTGCAAGGCTTTAAAGGAAAGTCTATTTTTAAACTAGCTCAGCATTTTGAATATACTTTTAATTTACTGATTCAGCAAAATTCATTGCAAAACTTTCTGTGATAGATTTATAGTCCATGAACTGTGTACACCCCCTTGTGGTGAAACTTAAATTCTCTAAGATCCTGAAAAATAATTGAGAAAAAAGCTGGGGGGCTCCATATTCTCTTGATCAAAACTCATTATTCAGTAAGCCGCTCTGACTTGAATTCATTTCTGCTGCTGCTGCTGTTCAGTCACTCAGTTGTGTCTGACTCTTTGCGACCTCATGGACTGTAGCCTGCCAGGCTCCTCTGTCCATGGGATTCTCCAGGCAAGAATACTGGAGTGGGTTGCCACTTCCTCCTCCAGGGGATCTTCCCAACCCAGGGACTGAACCCAGGTCTCCTATACTGCAGGCAGATTCTTTACCACTGACCACCAGAGAAGTCCAAATTCATTTCTACTTGATGTTATTGGCTGTATTTAGCAAGCAGGCAAAATTGTTTGCAGTCCTGAGGGTAGATTGAGAATAGGTTGCATTTGTGGCCAACTGTCATAAATCAGTTTACATACCCTGCACAGATTACTCATTCTCCCCTAATTCTGATCAGCAGGGCTGTGCTGCTAGAAGCTCTCAAGTCGGAGCCTCAGGAAACCAGGCGGCTTCTGGTGTGATGGCTCACCCTTGGCATTCCCCGGATCTGGGCCAATTTATCCACCAATTTCAAGAAACTACACAAGGCCACATTCAGAGATAAAGAAATAAACTGTGTAATATAGTATCCTCATCTGTTTTAGGAATCCTTTTTATGTCTGTTAAATTACACTTTTATACCCTGCTTCACCACATTACAAACGTAACTCAGATCAAATGAAATATTGGCAGTATTGCCCTGAAAGATGAAAAAAGTAATGACCTCTTCATTGACTATAATATATACATTCCCTCCTCCTTCGCAGGTTATTCTACATTATAAACATATATGCATACTGGTGTGATCTTGTGCACACAGCTTTAAAATGAAGGGATTTTAGGATTCTTTATATTCCAACTATAGAACAATTAGCAGTATCAAAATCATGGAACCTTCTGGCTTTTCTTCTCAATGGCATCTGCATTTTTAAAAAGTCATTCCAAATACCAGGAGAGAAATCAGCACAAATCAGCTCTCAGAAGCAAACAAAGAGATCATTTGTCCCTGCGGTTCCAGAGGGGGAGAATGCTGGGACCTGGGACCACCACCTACCTGGAGCCTTTCTCTACTCAGTTTTACTGGTTTTCCTTCTTCAACCACAAGGGTCTTGCTGTGCAGAATTTGTGTGTGATGTTGGTGGCTTTCTGAGTCCACCTGCACGTAGACTCCCACATATAAATGTATATCTTTAACTCGCACTATTAGGTTGAACATATCGAAGCTGCCACTGCCGTCATGCCTGTAAATCACATGCCCTTGCTTCAAGTCATGCACGGAAAATGAGCCAGGCGCTGAGCTGTTGACCAGCACGCTGCCGTGGTTTGGGGGCTGCACGATGTGGAATTGGACCTCGTGGTCTGTTCTGACATCATGGTTTGTGGTGACACTGAGTTTGGCTGTCGTGAGGCTGCTGTCTTTTCCTCTCTGTATGAGCAGCCCCGTGTTGTTGACTACACGGACGTAGGGGTCTGACACGCTGACCTCAAGGAGGGATGACGTGTAGTGGACACCGTCAGTTACAAACAACACAAAGCGGGCCAAGTCTGCACCCCGGTGCCTGAAGAGTACGCGTCCTTCCCACAGGTCCTCTTGCCCGAACCGGTAGAGTTTCTGAGTTGGGTCACTGGCTTGCACCAAGTCCCCGTTCGGGATGCCCCACCGGATGTAGAGCAACTGCCCGTCGTCAAAATCTGAGTCAGGGTCATGGTAGCAGAGATCTGAGAGGGTCAACAAGTGCTGGCCATTCCGCACAACCTGAAAGACCTTATCCACCACACACACTGGTTTCTTGTCATTCTTTAACTCCACAGAAATGGTGGCTTTGATTTCTGCAGACAGATGCTCCGTGTCAAGATCCCTGAACGCTCCCTCTTGGTCTGGTCCTGCGGTGGAGACCACGAGGAGGAATTCATCACTCTGGGTCTCAGAGTCATCGTGCTCATATATCAGCTGCTCACCCAAGATGTCTTGATCTGTGAAGGCGGTGATGTTGTCCTGATTTCCAGGAGAATCTGAAGAGCGAATCAGTTTCAGCTTCCCGTGCTGCGGACTCTTGGTGACTGTATATTGGAAAGTCCTCTTGTCCAAGGTTTGAACAAATAATTCCGACTTTGTGATTAATTTCCCTTCTCCTTCTTTTACAAGTAATCCTCTATTTGTTAAAATAATATGCCTCCTCTCTGCTTTAAAGTTGATTCTGAAAGTATAATCTTTTGATTCTATGTGTTTTGCAACCATCAAGAACCTGAAAATATCTTGTGAATGTTCCCTGGGCCTCTCCTGTGGTTCATAACTTATCTCACCGTCTGTAATGTTTTGTTGGCTGAAGACTGAGTTTGTCTGTAGAACTTCTGTGCCAAGTAGCAACTTTCCTTTCTTAGGTGGGGCCAGTAACTTAAAATGTGGTTCCCTCTCAGCTACTTCCACCCCCTCTGTCACGGCCTGTAAGTGATCAGAATTCAATACGTGCCTGTTTATTTTACTGATCTCAAGGGCAACATTTTTCAGAAGGGTAAACTTTAGCTACTGTATCGTAATAGGAAACACCAGCTCTTCGCTGCTTTTTCCTTCTATGTCAACTTTAAATTTAAAGTGATCCGTAACATTTTCTAGTTGCAAATCTTTGAATGTAGTACAGTACCGAATCTGACTCTGATCAACAGAACGCTGAGAAACGGTACTGATTTGTTTCCACTCGCCACCTGGCCCTTGTTGCTGAATTTGGCCAAAGCGAGGTGGATAAGTGATAACATAATGGGTGTCCACCTCAGGGCATTCACCATTAACCTCCACCGACAAGTTGCTCTGCGTAATAAGAACTGAACTACCCTGCTGCACAGCCACACCGGTCCGACTGGCCACTGCCAAGTCCCAAGGAATAGCCATGACCCGCAACACCACTGTACTGCTAACCAGCTCTCCATCATTTGCTCTCAGAAGGATCCGGGAGTTTGGATGGCCCCTGTGCACATAGAAAATGTTGCCATCTCTTAAATCCCCATATGAGAAACCATTAATGGCTCTCCCAGGATCATTGATATTTTCTAAAAACCCAGCATCTGAATTAAAGTTGCCAAGCACTGAGACACTAAGACTCAAAGAATCTGTATCTGGGTCTGAAATATGTATGATATTTGGAGTCAGTCATTTCTTAGAATTCTCAAACACAAGAAGCAAGTTTCCTTCAGGGAGCTTAAGATTTGGGGGATCATTTACTGGAATGACAACAATGTTAAACACATAAGAAACATGTCCTTGCAGATAGAGTGGCACTTCCCTCTTGCTATTGGAAGAGACTGAAAATGTGAAATAATCCCTAGGTTCTTCTGAACCGTCATGGACATACCAAACGTTCCCTTGCTCCAAATCCAACAGAGTGAAAACTTTCTCCAGTCCTTGCTTGGGCGAAACATCTAATCAAAGGAACCCATGAACAGGCATCTCCTTTATTTCAAAGAGTATCTGAGACTGATGGATACCCAAATCCTTTAGCTCCACATCCACCTTCATATGCCTTTGTTCCAGTGAGGCTTGTCCGCCTTCTTGGACCTCCAAGTTATTCAGGACCAAGAAATAGCTACTCACATCTTGAAGACTAGGCTTGCCCACCTCAGAGTCAGCAGTGGAAAGGGGAACTTCTGCCAGCAGCAGTTTCTCCATGGTTGTTGCAGAAGGATTTTCATTATCACTGCCCTTCATTTTACACCCAGCAGATAAATCTTTGGAAACAAAGGCATCCTTTAATGCTCTCTTTTCTGAGTTGGCTTCCAAGCCTCTTAAGCACCCTTTAAAAGAGATTCCTCCAGCAGATTTCCCAGGCACAGAGGCAAGTCCTAACCTCTTAACTTCTCTCTTGTGTCTATCAAGACCTCCCATGAAGAGGGGACCTGCAGATACAAACCGTTTGCTCTGCAGAGGCAGGTTTGCCCTTACTGTTTGTTCATCCACCATCAGGCCCAGGTATCTTTCAGTGAATCTGAGTTGAATATCATGCCACTGGTTGTCACTAACTAATCTAAAAGAAGAGAGCTGAATATCACTCCTATTCCTTCCTACATGAGCCTTCAAAAAACCTTTAACTATTTCCAAAGCGACAAAATCTCCTTCCCTTCCTGACTGAAATAAAAGCAAGGCTTGTTGAGTTCCAGTCTGCAAAGCAAATTCCAACAGCCTGTCCCCTTGGACCTTTCACTCTGGGAAGGTGACATAGGATCTGGAGCTAAAGAAATTGATGGATTCATCCTCCCCTGCAAAAAATTCATCACTGCATCCTAGTGACACCTCATAAACTTTCTTAAAACCAGGGTAAGATCTAAGAGAGGAAAGGATCTCCCCCTGGTTAAACACCACATCCTCCATACAGCCACGGAAATTGGGGAGCTGTCCATCGAGATATGAGACATCAAGTCCACCGCGGCCTGCTGTGTAGATTCCGTACTGAAAGTGCAAATTGTGCATCCCACCAGTGATCCGGCCAGTCATCTCATAATGTTTGTCAGTAACCAGAGAGACATGATCCTTAACACAGTACAACTCCACTAAATGCCAAGCCAAGTCATCCACACGAAGTCTTTGCTCAGAAAGAAGCACTAGTTCACCTGTCCCCAGATTCACTCTCACCTGAAAGACAAAGAATCACAATTAAGCAATCTCATCTCCTAGTGTTTTATTGAGAAAATATGGCCATTCACAAAGAGAAAGAAAGAGAAACCTGGACATGGAAACCCCTTCCCACACTTATGAACTACATACTGAAATTGAAATTTTCTGAGTTGGAATATTTAAAACATGCTCGTAAAATTGGGGAAGATCTCAACCCTTACATGTGGCATCTGATTTTATTCTAGTGAAATAACAATAATCAAGTGTTTTGTTCTCTTTCTCTCAGTGTTTTTCCCTCCAGTAATTGAATCACTGTACATTTTTAAAGATTTAAAAAAATCTTACCCGTAAGTTTCTTGATAGAAGTTCTATTATACACTAGTCATTTACCCCAGATGCAAGAAAAAGTAATCCCTGTGGTTTGCTGGTTTGAAATTTTAACTGAAGAGATAGCTCAGAGGAAACTTCTATGATAATGAGCCCCACGTAGCTTTCACCATAAAAAGATGCTGTAGGAAAAAAAGAAGTTAGTAAACTTATTACACGGCGACTGTTACACTTATATTGTCATCTCCCTGCAGGAGAGACCCTGCTGAAGACAGCTGCCTTACCCAAGGCCACACCTGCTTCCTCGGGTAGCCCACAGATCTGTCGTGGGGGTATAAATGCTGTGTTCTCTTGCTCCAACTCAGGACACTTCTGATGGGTCAGTCCCTCTTCAGAACTCTCAAGAGGGCTGAGGCTTCTACTGAAACTGAATTGCAAATCTGCTTCTCTATCTACCCAATTCTGCTTCTTTCCCTTCTAAAGGGGCTAATCCTAAATCGCTGATGGTGAACTGGTTTTATAGTGAAAGGGAACACATTAGCCAGCTCTGAAATATCAACCTATGAGAAATATAGGGCAAGTAGCAGCAATGAGAACAATGGGATTGGATATCCATCCATAAGTTTGAATGAAACTTTGGAAAAGATAAGGAAAAACTAGGATAGATTAGCTGACAATTACAAGGTAGGTGTGAAAGCCAAAGGACTTCCCTCATAGCATATAAAGTCTTTCTCATCCCCTACAGCAGGTGGGCAGGGGAAGTTGAGACTCTCACCCAGGAAATGGCATTGTCAGCTTCAAACAAAGTTCAAGTTCCAATCATGTCAGGCTGCCTCTGACAAGTCCAAGGTCTTGTATGGGAAAGAATGGAAACTTGACTTATGGGATGGGGACATTTGGATTGATGCTCAAATACCCTGTGTCCCTAGATCCCTCTGAACACTCTGATCCTGAAGAAAAGACCCATTCCCTGATTAAAGTGACCCTCCCTTTACTGAAAGAGGATGCAGAAACCTCTCCCCACAAATAACATGTAACCCCTGAAGACATGCCCCCATCTCTCCTCCTGACCACTAGATCCAAAACAAAGCCTAAGTCACAACATAACCTATATGGAGACATGGACTAGACCCTACAGGAGCTGCAGGATCTATCCAGAGGGTAGTGCCAGCAGCCAGGAAATGCACATGGGACTAAGGGTACCTAATCAAGGGGGCAGGAACATAAAGTTAAGTAGGGGGAGTTAATAACACTTTGGGGGCACATCCCCAGGGATGCAGGATGCAACCTGCTGGCACAGACAGCTGTAAATGATGTGAACTCACAGCTAAGGTAGATCCTAGAAGCACAAAAAGTGCGATGACCCAGTCTGAGACACACATGACAGAATTGCCATGACAGATGGATGGTGGAAGCAGAGATTCAAGGGACAGAAGTGGTACATCCAGAATTGAGCATGGACAGGACCAGAAGTCATGAGCAAGCTACATGACATGGTGGCCTGGAGCTTCATGTCATCACCTTTCTTGTGTCAGCACCTTTTCCTCAGCTTATGCGTCTGGTTGCCTAATAAGGGAGAAACCCCTTATTGCCAGCTGATGGAAGGACAAAACACCTAAGCCTGGTTCACGGCTGAGTCAGCATCATCATGTGCATTCAGACTGGAAATGTTCTCCAATTGCACTACAGCTGCTTTTAGGCATGGCCATGAAGTCACCAGTGAGGGAAAATTCTTCCCAAGGTAAAACTATGGATAGTTTATCTAATCATTTGGTTTATATGGAGCCAGAAGTGGCTTGAGGTTAGAATAAAGACTGATAGGTAGTAGCAAATAGCCTGGCCAGATGGGCTTCCTGAGTAACCCAGGCTGCAATGCCTGCTTCTCCTCTTTGTTCCTACAACATTGTGCATTTCTCTATCCTAACGTTTGCCTGGGGGATTAAAATTACTTGTTTATTCATCTATCTCCTGCACCAGTCCATGAGTTTCCTATGACAAGGGATTACATCTTTTTTGCCTTCCTCTCTCCAATACCTAGTACCTGGCACTCAGGTGGTATAATAGATATTTGGTAGCCTATTTAGATCTCTTTTAACAGGTTGGTACATCCATCCCCCAGCTGATGAACTCTGTTATCCACAAATTTCAGTAAAATCATACCCTCTGTCCTGGAGGGCAACCTCTAGCCAATGACTGATTGAAGAGGTGTTTTGCTCTCCATATTCCAGAGTTGAGATGAGACCACATCTTTGTTTGGTTTCTTTTCCTGCCCTCTCCTGATTCCATCACTTCCTTAAAGTTCTCTCCTGGTAGCACTCACTCAATTATTCATTCCCAAAAGAATCCTTTCCTAAGCCTCTCTCTCTCTAGGGAACCCAATCCAAGCTAGGTAGATAGCATGCAATCATTTACTCAACCAAACTGAACTAACCAATAAACCTTCATTTTATAGTTGAGTCAAGTCAGGCCTAAAGAAGCTTATGGACTTAGATAAAGTCAAAGTTAATTTGAAGCAGAGCTGACAAAAAAAAGTCGGCATCACCAACTGGATGGACCTGAGCTTGAGTAAACTCCGGGAGTTGGTGATGGACAGGGAGGCCTGGTGTGCTGCGATTCATGGGGTCGCGAAGAGTCGGACACGACTGAGCGACTGAATTAACCTGAACTGAACTGACAAAACCCAAGCATAACCAATCACCAAGCCAGTGTTTTGTATTTTTTTGTTTTTCACCAAGGTACAAAGTTGATACAGACTTCCTCAGATACGCAGAAGCATCCTTTTTCTTCATTAAAAACAGCCATTAATAATTAAATTTGATAAAACTAGAATATAGGGACACAGTCATAAAGTTGAAAGAAGCAATTACAAATCCACTAGCTTATCCTTCTGGCTCTCCCATTACTGAAACCCCCCATTCCAATTTTTGACAGACTTAGAGGGTGTATTGTTAAGTTTTCAAAACCAGGAAATGTTTTCTAAATCATAAAATCTACTGCTGAGAATGACTAAGTAACCTTAATAAACAACATCCCTATATTTTCCCATGTTTCACCTCTGGCACTGAATCAATCCCAGTCTCAGCTGATGGCTAGAAATTTCCATTGCCTCAGGGGAAAAACAAGGAAGCAGGTTTAAAACTTCTGGCCTGACAGCCTGAAGCCACATACTTCCAAGTCGACCCTAACTTTTGTGGTCCCTAGGAAGTGTCTCAAAATCAGAATAAAAAGCAAGTAAAAGCACAGGTAAAACTGGTTTCTAGAAAAAGAAAGGCAATCTCTACCTGCAGTGAAGGGAAGCGTGTACTTGGGTATTTTATAGGAGGGTAGCGAATCAAGCTGAACCAAAAAATCAGAGCAACTTCCTGATTTTGTGTCCTTAAATAAATGGTAAAATGTCTGAATAGAAACCAAAGTTTTGCCATGAGGTAAAGTACTTTGCGTGGAAGGTTTCTGTAATTTTCCCCAGGTAAGTGACTATGTGATTCATTTTACCATTTAGAATTGGCTTCCATTCCTTTTTTCAAACTATATCTTCCTGGATCTTTGTTTGATTTTGGTTTTATGTTCAAGCTTTTTGGCATTTACTGTGTGCCAGGTACTATGAGGGGTTGGTTGGAGAATTAATAAGACAAAGGAACTCCCAATCTATCACAGGAGAAAATTGTTTAGAAAAAAAGAGGGTATCCAAGTGATAATAGGAAGGGCTAGAACAGAAGCTTGGCTTGAGCCCAGTGGGGTGTGAGAGAAGGAGCAATCTATTAAGGTCTCTCCCTGGCAGTTGTAAATATCCCACCCCATGTGCATATTCTGTCCACACAGACTGTTTGGTCCTGGGAATTCAGTGGTGACTGAGAAAGACTGTATATCAAGCAATTACAGTTGCCTGATTATTAACCAGGAAATGCAGACCACAACAGAAGCACTGGGCCTTGTCAAGGAGGGTAGAAGGAAGAAAGGTGTTTCAGGCAAGGCACTGGCTTCTAGGAAGAGCTGGTGAGGGGTGGAGGAAAGGAAGAGGAAAGAAAAAACGTGGGGAGAGATAGGAGAGAGGAGACTGCAAGGAACCAGAAGCCCAGTGTGGCTGAGCACAGTATCAGGAGGGGGCAGCCAGGACTGAAGCTGCACAGGCATGAGGGGTTAGGGGGCAAATACCACTGCATCCATTTGAGGCCGTCCCTGAACTTTCAGTTTAAAGTGCATGCGCACAGCTACACACACACACACACGCACGCACACACATGCATGTTTGCAAAGGTAGATACCCAGTCCCAGTACCTGGCTACTCCCTTCAAGACTCTTACTTGAATCTCTGATTATCTTCTTTATTTGTTTTCTGGGTTATTATTCAGTCCCAACACCACACCACTCCAAACAGAAGGTAAGGCTCTGAGGTCAGGAGCCTTTGTTGATCTTGATCACAGCTTCACTGTGCACACAGCACATTAGGCACTCTGGAAATGATGGCTTAGAAGCCAAACTGAAGAGTTTAGACTATCCGAAGAGGCACATAAAGCGGTCACACAGGGACATGATATAACCAGACTGCAATTTAGAAGAGGACTCTGGCTGAAATGAAGAGAATGAACTCAAGGGGATGGTAGGGATGGGGGGAAGCAAACAGGGGGGAGAGGTAGGCAGGTTCAAGAGATATTTTAAAAGTAGGACTGTCAGGAGAGGGAAAGGGAGAGGCCAAGGGGGCAATCCAGATTTCTGGTTGAGTAGCCAGCTATTAAATGAGGGAACCTGGGAGGGGAGCTTTAGTTTTCCTTTGTTTTATTGTGTATATATGACAGGAAAGTCTCAATAAAAGTTTAGGGAGCAAATAACTGACTGATCACCTGGATCCCGACTTACAGGGGTGGGTGACTTACAAGCCATATCAAGAATATTGAACCTTATTCTGCAGACAGTAAGGAAGCATTATGGTTTTCAGTTGGAAAAAGACATATCTGTTCTGTGTTTTAGAAAGATCAGTCTGGTGACTATGCAAGGGCAAAACAAGACTAGGACGGAAATTAACCAGGAAAGTATTTTAAAGAAAGATTTCAGAACTGTTTGCTTTCACTGAAATTAGAATTGTCTTTTCATAATACAGTATTTTTGGTAACTTTATATCATGCCTTTTTATGTACTGCATTTCTTCCAAGATGTTCTATAGATGATATGGCATAAGCGTAGAAACTTATTTTTTAAATTAAAATAAAAAACAATGAAAACAAACTTCTCTGCTAGAGTATTTGCATTATACAGACTCCTAAGATGAAGTCCTAAGAGAAGGGCTGAAGTTATAAAACAGCTCTTATTCATGCTGTATCATTTGAGTGGAATAACTTCACTTGGAAAGGAAAGCCACATTTTACCCCACAAATGCATCCGTAAGAGCCTTGACAGTGTTTCACCATGGTATTGACGGCCCATACTTTATCAAACTGATGTTGAACACTTAGTCAAGAGATCACTAACTTTATGCACTAGCTTCCCAGGTGGTGCTAGTGGTAAAGAACCCGCCTGCCAATGCAGGAGACGCAAGAGACGCTGATTCGATCGGTCATGGCAACCCACTTCAGTATTCTTGCCTGAAGAATCCCATAGACAGAGGAATCTGGCAGGCTACAGTCCATAGAGTCACACAGAGTCTAATATGACTGAAGCAATTTAGCTCACATGCACACAACTTAATCCACAGCACTCTAAGAAAGAATAAACTTATAAATGTGAAAAAAATTAGCATAAATATCTAACATGCCCTAGGAGGCCCGACCTCCTTTATTCACTGAAAGCAAATCCCAATAGGAAAAGTTCTAAGTCTCTCCCACAAGAGTCAGGTCCACTAACATGTAAGTTAAGAAAGAAAAATCAATGAGTGAATAGATATTTGCTCCACGGCCATAGGCTGGGCAGCTGACCAGGTGGTCACTAGGCTGGGAGGGTGGGACGGGTCCCTGGCTCCACATCTCTATACTAAATGTGTTGTTGACATAGTTGGGAGGATGGCGGAGAAGCGAGTAGTAGGCCCAAGGCCACTGTGAGGATGGAAATCTTAGGTTTTCAGGAAGAGTCGGAGCAATCCACAGCCCTGGAATCCTGGCTATTGCAGAACATGTCCCCACCAGCCTCTCAACTTTCATTCATTCCCCAAATACCAGTCTCCATGCCCACTGTTCAGGTTGCAAGAGAAAAGCAGCACTGGCCTGCCCATACCCCCTCTCAATGGGGCGTTCTCTAGGCCTGCTAAAAATGGTCATAAAGATTGTGTCCCGCACAACTCCAGGGGGAGCTAATCCTGTAGATGCTGTAGATTCCTATGGAAACCCCTAGAATGAGGCAGTGGTCATCCTGGTCCCCAGCCACCTCGGGCTGAGCTGACAGCTCCTTCCTTAGTGACGGCAGAGCTTATGTCCTATTCTGAATGCTCCACATGTGACACTCAGACATTTTTGTGTCTGCTCCCCCGCTGTCTAGGAGCTCTCGAGGCTCAGCCACAGGCTCTAGAGTGAGTGCTAGAGCCAGACTCACTCTGCACATGGACAGAACCTTCTCTAAGCTCCCAGCTCCCTTGCTGTCTGATGGCATGTGCCTTCTCCTGACAATCAGAATCAAATGGCCCTTGGAACTCTGCTCAATGATATGTGGCAGCCTGGATGGGAGGGGAGTTTGGGGGAGAATGGATACACACATATATATGGCTGAGTTCTTTTACTGTCCTTCTGAAATTATCACAACACTGTTAATCAGCTATGTTCTAACATAAAGGGCTTCCCAGGTGAGGCTAGTGGTAAAGAACCTGCCTGCCAATGCAGGAGACATAAGAGACATGGGTTCAATCCCTGGGTGGGAAGATCTCCTGGAGGAGGGCATGGCAACTCACTCCAGTATTCTTGCCTGGAGAATCCCATGAACAGAGGAGCCTGGAGGGCTACAGTCCATGGGGTCACAGAGCTGGACATGACTAAAACAACTCAGCACTCATGCATACTCTAATATAAAATAAAAAGCTTAAAAACAAACAGAATTAAATAGCCCTTTATATGATCTCTTACTAGTTCAGACAACCTCTATAAACTTCCTATTGCTGCTGTTAGGGCTTCCCTGGTGGCTCAGCTGGTAAAGAATCCGCCTGCAATTCGGGAGACCTGGGTTTGATCCCTGGGTTGGGAAGATTCCCCTGGAGAAGAAAAAGGCTACCCACTCCAGTATTCTGGCCTGGAGAATTCCATGGACTGTATAGTCCATGGGGTCACAAAGAGTCAGACATGACTGAGCTGCTGTTAACAAACTGCCGCTAATTTAATGGCTTAAAATGACACACACTGATTAGACAATAAAGAGTTCTGGAGTTCACTGAGCTAAATCAAAGTGTTTGAAGGCCTGCATTCCTTCTGGAAGCTCTAGGGGAGAATCTGTCTCATTGCCTTTTCCAACTTCTAGAGACCATCACATGTCTTGGCTTGTGGCCCCAGCCAGCAATCATATCACTCTGACCTCTGCTTCCATCACATCATCTCCTTCTTTGATTTTGACCCTCCTGCCCTCCTCTTACAGCACCCCTATGATCACCTTTAGGGCCCGTTGAGATAATTCAGGGTGGATAATCTCTCTACCCTCAAAATCCCTAATTTGATAACATCTGCAAAGTTCCTTTCACTATGTAAAGTAATACAATCCATGTTGAATGAATTAAGATGTGACTATCTCTGCAAGAGTATCTGCAGCATCCCCAATCTGCTCACCAGACAAAAGTAACTTCCTACTGTGATGAGACTCCATGAGGACATAACACCCTGTGTCATATAAAGACTGAGAGCAGCATTTATCTAAGCCTTTGTCAACCATAAACTGGGACTTGCCATCTACCTCTACAAGGATTAATCAGTTGCTACTGCAGCTGCTGATTTTCAACAAAACACCCTCTGCAAGTTCAGGGTGGAGAGTAGAAGTGAGGCATTCTGTGCTCTAAGAAAAACTTGCAGAACAGGTCCTCAAATAGTTAGATATTTTCAGGAGATGACTTTATAAGCCCATTTCTTGAGTCTCCTCACATCTAGAAAAGCCCTAAAATCCTTCATGGTGACGACTGCTCCTTGTGACTAGCAAAAACCTTCTGCAGAAAATAGGTGTTTGAGTGCATGCACTCCACCTGCACCAAAATCACACATATACTGACCTTCCCCACCACCTCTTTGGAGCAGTTTCTTAGAGCTATCTGAAATGCTCTCTCCTCATTTTGCCCCAAATATAAAACTTAACTTGCAACTCTCATGTTGTGTGTTTTTTAGTTGGCATCTTCAACAATTAGATTCTTCAAAACAACAGCCTGAATCACGCAAGGAGGAAAGATAAACTCACATTACACATCTGGCTAAGCAAGAATATATTCTTCAAAGTGCCCGAAAGCAGCTTTTGGTGAGACCTCAGTATTCGATATTTGTCATACAACTAGGGTCGAGGGTGAAGAACAGTATAGATGTTGAATTATGTGCCATGGAATTCTTCATTCAATGTGTGCTCAGTCACTCAGTCGTGTCCAACTCTTTGTGACCTCGTGGACTGTAGCCTGCCAGGCTCCTCTCTCCATGGAATTTTCCAGGCAAGAAAACTGGGGTGGGTTTCCATTTCCTTCTCCAGAGTTTCATTCAATAAATCTCCTCTATCCATATTCTGTACCCCTCAGTGGATATCTAACCTATTGGGTCTTTCTCATGCCCAAGCGAATTGCACAGATGAAGAGGACAGGAGAGTCATTAGTAGGACGGAAGGGAAATGAGCATTTATCCAGTAGTTTCCAGGCTGCCGACTTCCCTGGTGGCTCAGACGGTAAAGCGTCTGCCTACAATGCGGGAAACCCGGGTTCAATCCCTGGGTTGGGAAGATCCCCTGGAGAAGGAAATGGCAACCCACTCCAGTATTCTTGCCTGGAAAATCCCATGGATGGAGGAACCTGGTAGGCTACAGTCCATGGGGTCGTAAAGAGTCGGACACGACTGAGCGATTTCACTTTCCAGGCTGCCATGTCTTGCCTGTGTGGAGGTCTTGCCTGCATGCGCGATCAGTCACTTCAGTCATGTCCAACTCTATGTGACCCTATGGACTGTAGTCTACCAAGCTCCTCGGTCTGTTAGGGGAAGCACACTGACTGAGACCACCCACCCTGGCCAGGCACCATAGTAACCATTTGCATGGGTTGTTTTAGACAGGAGGTCCTGGTAAGGAACACAGAACTAATAAGCCACCTCCAACTGGAAGAGTTTAGGAAAGGTCAAAAGGAGACACCACATGTCCGGCCACCTCCCAGACTCCTCCTCTCTGGCATCCATCTTGGCTGAACAAGGTATGCACCACCAGGAAGGACTCTGAGTCGGATGATTGGCTAAAGACAACCCAGAAACTAATCCCATCACCATAAAACCTGAGACTATGAGCCACTGGCAGAGCAGTTCTCCTGGGTTCCCTTACCTACTGCTCTCCACCTGGTGCCCTCCTCCAATAAAATCTCTTGCTTTGTCAGCAGATGTGTCTCCTCGGACAATTCATTTCTGAGTGTTAGACAAAAGTCCAGTTTGGGGTCCTGGAAGGGGTCCCCCTTCTTGCAACAGGTCCATGGGATTCTCCAGGCAAGAACACTGGAGTGTGTTGCCCTGCCTTCCTCCAGGTGATCTTTCCAACCCAGGGATTTAAACCCTTCCCCCACCTCCCCCCCCCCACCACCCCTGTGTCTCCTGCATTACAAGTGGATTCTTTACCCCTTGTAAAGAATTCTGAAGAAGCAATTATCATCCCAGTTTTACAAAAGCAACATCAAGACCAAGATAAGTAATTTTCCCAAAGTCACTCTGAGAATAGGTGATGACACCCAGATTAAAGCTCAAGTCCACCTGATTCCAAAGCCAAAGGCTTCTCATCACCCCACAGGGACCACCCGGATCCCTGGCCCTGACCATCACCACCTCACCTGTCCCCCAACTCCATTCACTGCTCACTCAGATGCCCCTGGCCTGCAGCCAGCACCTTCCCTCTCAAGGATACACCACAGCCCCAGCCACAGCGGCCTCACACCTGGACTCCGGTACCCTCCGGTTGCTCCCTGCACGCCAGGCAGGAAGACGCCGGGAAGCGGGCAGAAAAAGGAATCTGGAAGGAGGAAGACGAAGAGGGAGGAGCTCGCAAGTGCCCCAAACAGCAGAATTGACTGCGCAGTGTCAGAGGAATTTGAAGCAGGTCTGCACAGGGGTGAGAGCCAGGCGTGCCCTCGTACAGGGCCGGGCGCTGAACGTCACTCCAGAGCTCCTTGCGAAATCGCCTAAAGTGAAGTAAAGAACCATTCCGAACTTAATCTGAGGACCACAAAGATTGACAAGGCCTTTGATTAAGAATGCGTTCTCAAGTCTCGAAGAATGTCTTTTGTTATAAACGGAATTAAATTTCAAAGAGCCAGAGAGGGCGGGAAGGCCCCAGTGTTCAGCTCAATGATGTAAAAAGTCACTGGGCTTTTATTAGTTATCTTTGACTTCTGAAAGCCGCCAAGTAAATGTAAAGAACCTCCAGCGAACGGGGTCCAGAAAATGTCTGCGGACGTGTGCGGGGACTTAGGGAACGAGAGGGCAGCCACCCACAAAAGAAACTCGGCGAGCAGTTTAAGGCCTCTTGAGGGTCACGAGCAGTCGAAGAAGGGCCTGGGTAGGGTAGGGCTGGAAAGCCTGAGAAGGGAGGACAGCAGGAAGCCTTCCGTCTACTCCTCCGAGTGCCGCCGAGAGTCCGGCCCCAAAGCCCAGACCCGCGGCGCAGGGCACGCCCCCGGGGCTCGCGAACTGGCCGGGACCGGAGGGGCCGGGCCGTGCGAGGCGGGGAATCGGAAGTTTTCCGCGGAGGCGACGGAGCCACTGCGCAGGGCCGAGCGTTCTCCTCCCCGGGCTGCCCCGCTCCCAAGGCCCCGCCTGAGAGTCCAAATCGCGGTTGCCGCGGGACTGGCCGGGCCGCGGGGTCTCCCGGGGCCCTCGGATCACAGGGGGCTCCCGCCCGCGCCCTCCGCCCCTCTCCCCGCCGCCTCTAGCGGGCTCCGCGCGCGGCCGGCCGGAGAAGGGACGGGGAGGGGAAGTGTGGAAGTTGGGGCGTGTACCTCCAAGCACCCTGCGCGCCCCGCAGAGCCCCAGGAAGGCGGCGAGCAGGAAGAGGCAGCGGGCCCCGAGGCGCCCCATCCCGCTGCAACAGCCCCGCGCCCCAAGCTCGCTCCCCGGTGGCGGCTGAGCTACCTGCGCCGGCCCCTCTCCGCCCCCGGCCGGGACCCGGAGCGGGACCTGGAGCGGGACCAGGGGGCGCCGCCCCCAACCAGCGCGGGGGCTGGGCCGGGGCAGGGAGAGCCGCCGGCAGCCCGCAGCTGTTGCGCTGCATCACGCTCCGCCCGGCGCCGGGGTGCACGGTGCCGACACGCGGCGGGGCCAGAGCACCCTGGCAGACTCGGTACGGACAGAACACGAGTCGCCTGCCCTGCGCGGCTAGTTCTGCGGTGGAGTTTACTGTGCGTTCGGGCGCTGATGAGAAATGGAGAATGGAGGGGGAAGCATTCCTGGTGGAGGTAGGACCTTACCAAACACGACTTTAAGGTGCCAGAGTGAGCTCCAGCTTATTGTTGAATCCCCAATGCTGACCTGGTGCATATACACCGGCAGATAAATGAGTAAGAATTAAACGCAAACTTCCTTCTGGAAATGGAGATTGCACCAAATCTCTTAGGTCCTTCCATATTTACCATTCTCACGTTCGAATTCTGAACAAATGAAAAGGCTGTCCAGGAGGAATGTGAGTATTAGCACAGAGAAGGGTCCAGCCCCGGGCTGGCTGTGTCCTAGGCAAGAGCTGGAGGTGTAGCTGTGCCTGGGTTGGAAGGCCAGGCTGAGCCAGGCATGCAGACTTCTTCTGGCAGGCTCAGGTAACCACAGAAATGTAAAGGCACAAGCAGTGCAGAGCGAGATTGCCCAGAGAACCCCAGACTGTCAACAGTGTCCCCAGGGAGCCTCTACTCAAATGTCGTCCCTGGTTAAGGACATAAGCTTGGTTCCTTAAGAGACCTGAGGGCAAATCACGGTTCAGATGTTATTAGGTGACCTTGAACAAATCTCTTAATTGTCTCAACTTCTGTCTCCACTTCTGTAAAAGGAAGGTAATGATGCTGATCCCATAGGTGGGTTGTGTGGTTATTCCAGCCCATGAGGACTGAGTGTTGAGCATGGTGTCTGGCTTGTGGTAAGAACTCACTGGGCAGTCTTGTTATACCCATGACCCCTGCCAGGCCCATGGGGCTTCTCTGACCAGTTTGGAACAACTCTGGCTAGACACACACTCCTAAGAGTGAGCCATCTTTTCTCTTTCGTTCAGGATGGAGGGCCGTCTCATTTTCCTTCCTTGGGCTTAGCCATATGTACTATTGAAAACAAAAACAAGACCGGGAGCTGACTTGTGGCTCAGATCATGAACTCCTTATTTCAAAATGCAGACTTAAATTGAAGAAAATGGGGAAAAAATTCAGTATGACCTAAATAAAATCCCTTATGATTATACAGTGGAAGTAACAAATAGATTCAAGGGATTAGATATGATAGAGTGCCTGAAGAACTATGGATGGAGGTTTGTGACACTGTACAGAAGGCAATGATCAAGACCGTTCCCAAGAAAAAGAAATGCAAAAAGGCAAAATGGTTGTCTGAGGAAGCTTTACAAATAGCTGAGAAAAGAAGTGAAAGGCAAAGGAGAAAAGGAAAAATATACCCATTTGAATCTGTATTCCAAAGAAGTTCCAAAGAAGAGCAAGGCGAGATAAGAAAGCCTTCCTCAGTGATCAGTGCAAATAAATAGAGGAAAAAAACAGAGTGGGAAAGACTAGAGATCTCTTCAAGAAAATTAGAGATACCAAGGGAACATTTCATGCAAAGATGGGCACAATAAAGGACAGAAATGTTATGGACCTAACAGAAGCAGAAGATGTTAAGAGAAGTGGCAAGAATACACAGAAGAACTATACAAAAAAGATCTTAATGACCCAGATAATCATGATGTTGTGATCACTCACCTAGAGCCAGACATCCTGGAATGCAAAGTCAAGTGGGCTTTAGGAAGCATCACTATGAATGAAGCTAGAGGAGGTGACAGAAGTCCAGTGGAGCTATTTCAAATCCTAAAAGATGATGCTGTGAAAGTGCTGCACTCAATATGCCAGAAAATTTGGAAAACTCAACAGTGGCCACAGAACTGGAAAATGTCAGTTTTCATTTCAATCCCAAAGAAAGGCAATGTCAAAGAATGTTAAACTACCACACAATTGAACTCATCTCACATGCTAGTAAAGTAATGCTCAAAATTCTCCAAGTGAGCCTTCAATAGCATGTGAACTGAGAACTTCCAGATGTTTTAGTTGGATTTAGAAAAGGCAGAGGAACCAGAGATCAAATTGCCAACATCTGTTGGATCATAGACAAAGGAAGAGAGTTCTGGAAAAATATCTACTTCTGTCTGCTTTATTGATTATGCCAAAGCCTTCGACTGTATGGATCACAAAAAACTGTGGAAAATTCTTCAAGAGATGGGAATACCAGACCACCTCACCTGCCTCCTGAGAAACCTGTATGCATGTCAAGAAGCAGCAGTTAGAACCGGACATGAAACAATGGACTGGTTCCAAATAGGGAAAGGAGTACGTCAAGGCTATATATTGTCACCCTGCTTACTTAACTTCTATGCAGAGTATGAGAAATGCCAGGCTGGATGAAGCACAAGCTGGAATCAAGATTGCTGGGAGAAATATCAATAACCTCAGATATGCAGATGACACCACCCTTATGGCAGAAAGTGAAGAGGAACTAAAGAGCCTCTTGATGAAAATGAAAGAGAGTGAAAAAGTTGCCTTAAAACTCAACATTCAAAAAACTAAGTTCATGGTATCCAATCCCATCACTTCATGGAAAATAGATAGGGAAACAATGGAAACAGTGACAGACTTTATTTTCTTGGGCTCCAGAACCACTGCAGATGGTGACTTCAGCCATGAAATTAAAAGACGCTTGCTGCTTGGAAGTGTCAGGTGAGTGTATGTTCCTCCATTCTTTGTCTCATCACAACAAAGATTTGGAGTGACGGACATTAAAGCCGGTCACAACTCTCAAGTCTTGGACAGACCATGTTATAGCTCTCAGGTCTCGAACGGACCGTGTTATAGTTCTTAGAGAAATCAGTGTTACAGCTCAGTGTTACAGCTCTATTTTATTTAGAAGATAGCAGGAAAATCCATCTTTGAGGCATGAGGGCATGTCAATCCAAAGACACAAAGAGAAGAGCACCCCCATCGTGCGGGAGATAGAAAGAGAGAGTCCTTCGGCTCCTCTTTTTATATGTTTTTTTTCTTCCCCCTGGGCCTGTCCTATGCAAATTGGGCTTAGGCAGGAGCGCTGTTCTACGTGAAGTCCTCACTCTGGTCCTCGGACCTTCCTTTGACATTCCTCTGTTCTATTTTTGTGGGCTTTTCCCTTCCTGTCTTTTAGCCACTGCCATTTTGGACTCCTTTTCCCTCTTCCAACTACCTAACAGAAGGAAAGCTATGACCAACCTAGGCAGCATATTAAAAAGCAGAGACATTACTTTGCCAACAAAGGTCCATCTAGTCAAAGCTATGGTTTTCCCAGTAGTCATGTATGGATGTGAGAGTTGGACCACAAAGAAAGCTGAAAGAAAGTGAAAGTGTCAGTCGCTCAGTCATGTTCAACTCTGAGACCACATGGACTGTAGCCCACCAGGCTCCTCTGTCCACGGGATTCTCCAGGCAAGAATACTGGAGTGGGTAGCCATTCCCTTCTCCAGGAGATCTTCCCAAGCCAGGGATTGAACCCAGGTCTCCTGCATTGTAGGCAAATTCTTTACCATCTGAGCCACCAGGGAAGCTTTGATGCTTTTGAACTGTGGTGTTGGAGAAGACCCTTGAGAGTCTCTTGGACTTCAAGGAGTTCAAACCAGTCAATCCTAAGGGAAATCAGTCCTCAATGTTTATTGGAAGGAGTGAAGCTGAAGCTCCAATACTTTGGCCACTTGATGCAAAGAACTGACTCATTGGAAAAGACCCGGATGCTGGGAAAGATTGAAGGCAGGAGGAGAAGGGGATGACAGAGGATGAGGTGGTTGGTTGGCATCACCAACTCGATGGACATGAGCTTGAGCAAATTCCGGGAGATGGTGAAGGACACGGGGAAGCTGATGTTCTGCAATCCACTGGGTCACAAAGAATTGGACACGACTGAGCAACTGAACTAAACTGATCTGAACTACTGAAGATGCCATATGTCATCCATGTTCATAATCTCCAGTATCCCCCACTTGCCCATAGTCAAGATGATTTTCCTGGGGCTGCAGAACCTTGGACCAGGTTGGTGGGAGTGGTAGTTCTACCTCTAGATGTGTCATGGCTTCCATTTTCTCTCCTATAAAATGCAAAGATTGGTTAAGTGATCTGTAAATTCCCTCCATGTTCAAAATTTTATGATTCTGATTTGTCATCTTTGGCATCGGAATAGCTCTGCCATTTAAATAGAGCCCTTTTAATTAGTGCACAAAGAGTCACGAAATGTTTGAATTTCTTTACTTCAAGCAGTGATTGCCAATAAACTTCGAGATTTTAATTTAGAAAAGTCATTCAAAGTTTCAAAAAGAGACTAGGAATTATCTCCCTATAGAGCATCACTTGCTCCTCTTCTTTGAATTAGTTCTCATCTATCACATAGGTTCTTCAAAGATTGAATGAAGTCTCCAGCCAATTTCTGCAGCAGTGAAGTTGGCTCTAGAATGATGAGAAATTATCATGCTCAGTTGTTATGGAAAGCCCCATGATAAATATTGTGACTCTAAGGATTTTTATAGTATCTGATCAGGAAACCCACCTATGTAACCCACCTATAGTCACTCAGATCTAATCATCTAGTCATTTTGACTGGCATTCACCTGCTATGCCCCAGCAACAGGAATTATTCTCTTCAGATGTTAACCTGAACACTGTTGTCTGAGGAATGAAGATATGGAGAACAGAGAATGAATATAGAGATGGGCATTCACTCAACAAATATTCAATGAACTCTTCCAAATGGAAAAGGCACAGAAAAGATGTCATTCACAGAAATGAATTAGAGCCCCTGCGTCCAAGGAAGTTACAATAGAGAGGAGTTGGGACTTCCCTGATGGTTCAGTAGTTGACTCTGTACTTCCATTGCAGGGGGCACAGGTTCAATCCCTGTTTAGGGAACTAAGATCCCATCTGGCAAAGCCAAAAACTGAAGTAAAATATAAAAATATTGAGAGGAGTGTAAGACAAGTATAGCAGTAATTTTAATAAGGGTGCTTTAGAAACTGGGCTTCTCTGGAACTGTCCAAGCCATACATCTTTGATGATGTGACTGGCTTGAGCAGCCATGTCTCATTTACATGACCATCCTCCCTTTGACCCCCACCCCACCATGACTGGGGCAGGGTGGGTTTCTCGTCTAAGGAGCATGGACCCCAGAGAAAAGTGTCAAAGCTGATTCCTTCTCGAAACTTTCATCTTGGA